CCTTCTATCCCAGTAATTATCTCTGCTGGAACTGATATTTTATTTGTGGTGTTGTTTTAAAATGTCCGTGTATTCATTGTGTTCATATAAGAAAATGTTTAAACAGCTTTTATACATGCAATTATTCTATATAGGATGTCTCATGGGAAATAACTCATACATGAAATGAAACATATACATAATGTGTGGACTAGGCCATAGGTGGCTGTTCTACCATGAAACAGAGTAAAAATTAATGGTTCAGAAAAGGACAATCAAACAGATCAAGGTGATGGAGTGGCTCCCCTACCAGGAAAGGATTTGTAACTTTTTAAATTTACAACTTTTTAATTTTAGAGATAAGGCAAGTTAGAGGCGACATGACTGAAATGTATAAAATTATGAATGGTGTTGAGAAAGTGGATCAAAGTAAAGTTTTTCTCCCTGTCTCTTAATACTAGAACATTTTGGACATTCAATGAAGCTGAATATTGGAAAATTCAGGACAGCCAAAATTAAGCACTTCTTCACACAGTGCCTAGCTAAACTACGGGATTCAATCCCACAAGAGGCAGTGATGACCACCAACTTGGATGACTTTAAAAGATCATTAGACAAAATCATGGAAGATAAGGCTGTCAATGGCTGATTATAATGTTCTACCTCCACTATCTGAATTGGCTCCCAGTACGTTTCCGAGCACAATTCAAAGTGTTGGTGCTGACCTTTAAAGCCCTAAACAGCCTCGGTCCTGTATACCTGAAGGAGCATCTCCACCCCCATAGTTCAGCCCGGACACTGAGATCCAGCGCCGAGGGCCTTCTGGCGGTTCCCTGATTGCGAGAAGTAAGATTACAGGGAACCAGACAGAGGGCCTTCTCGGTAGTGGCGCCCACCCTGTGGAACACCCTCCCTTCAGATGTGAAGGAAATAAGCAGCTATCCTATCTTTAAAAGACATCTGATGGCAGCCCTGTTCAGGGAAGCTTTTAACATTTAATGCTGTATTGTTTTTAATACTTGATTGGGAGCCGCCCAGAGTGGCTGGGGAAACTCGGCCAGATGGGCGGGGTATAAATAGTAAATTATTATTATTATTATTATTATTATTATTATCCAAGTAGGTATGCTTCTGAATACCAGTTGCTGGAAGCCATAGGAGAGAAGAGTGCTGTTGTGCTTAGGTCCCAGTTAATAATAATAATAATTTTATTATTATTATTTATATGCTGCCCATCTGATTGGGTTGCCCTAACCACTCTGAGCAGCTCCCAACAAAATATTAAGAACATAATAAAACCTCAAACGTTAAAAACTTCCCTGCACAGGGCTGCCTTCAGATGTCCTCTAAAAGTCAAATAGTTGTTTATTTCCTTGACATCTGAAGGGAGGGCATTCCACAGGGTGGGTGCAACTACTGAAAAGGCCCTCTGTCTGGTTCCCTGTAACCTCATTTCTCGCAATAAGGGAACCAAACCACCAGAAGACCCTTGAAGCTGGACCTCAGTGTCCAGGCTGGACAATAGGGGTATACCTTCAGGTATATCAAGTATATCAAGACCATTTATGGCTTTGAAGGTCAGCACCAACACTTTGAATAGTGCTCAGAAACGCACAGGGAGCTAATGTAAATAATTTAGGACTGGTGTTCTATGGTCCCGGCGGCAGCTCCCAGTCACCAGTCTAGCTGCTGCATTCTAAATTAGTTGTAGTTTCTGAGTCACCTTCAAAGGTATCCCCAAATACAGCGCGTTGTGAGCTTCCAGCTGGGCACCGTGAAAATAGGAAGCTGGACTAGATGGGTCATTGGCCTTATCCAGCAGGCTCTTCTAAGGTTCTTATGTAACAATTATACCCCTTTACTTTGCATCTCTTTCAGAAAAGCCACAGCATGTACTGTGGCTATTAAACCACCATCCCTCTACCGAACTCATTATCCTCAGACAGTTTGAGTAAATGCTGAAACATTTAAGTTTATGAGGACTAAATAAGCTAAGTCTCTTATCGGGCTCCACAGTAAATACAGTCATCGATGAAAACCACAGACACTCATTCCTAGTGAAAACATTATAAATACACTGCCACATGAACATTAATAAAAATGAATAATAATAATATTTTATTGTTCAAGGCTCCTTAGCCCCAAAACAGGATGCTGTAAGTCAACCCCCTAAAAATGTACAATTGTTCCTGAATATTATGAATTAATATAGATTTTCCTAATATGCATGAATTTCTTTAATCTCACCGAGTATTCTACAAGTATGACTGTGTAACATGCTAATTTAAAATATTATTTAATTTACAATTACATCTGACATGATTAAGTCCCTATTTGTTTCAATTATAGAGAAGGCAAAATATGTCCCAGAGTGCATTGTTAGCCATATGTACAATTATGAACATTTTCTCCCACCTCCACATTAAGAGTTTACATATTAGTGCAAATTTAACAGGCATTCTTTAATAGCTGCTACCTATTAGCTCAGCTTTCACAGACCTGATACTTTCTAGATGTTGTGAACTACAACTCCCATCAGTCCTATCAGCTTAGTTATTTCCTTTTCAGAAATTTAATATGTTGGGGTAAATTTACACACCACCTTAAAATGCATACTACCCTTTCTGTGACCACCACCCTTTTTTCTTGTGCCACACTGAAGGATAGGCAAGTGGGGGCCACACAACTGTACCATCTCTGAGTTCACTAATTTGAGGTCTATATACTCCAAAAATAGCTTGCATGCAGGAACCGCAAGGAAAAGATTGGCCTATGAGAGGAAATGGCATAAAGAACTGATATCTTCCTCCAGCTGCTGGTTAGAGAAGGCAATGTTGCCACTGAATACCAATTGCTGAAAACCACAAGTGTGGAGAGCGCTGTTGCATCCAGGTCCTGCTTGTAAGCTCCCTATAGGCATCCGGTTGGCCACTGTGCAAAAAGGATTCTGGACTAGATGTACCTATGGTATGAGCCATACATGTTCTTAGAATTCCCATGTACCTATGGTATGAGCCATACATGTTCTTAGAATTCCCATGGCAAATACCCCATGTAAACCAGCAGGTAGGCAGACAGCCTAGCACAGGATGGATAGCTTGGTAGCATCCCACAGTGACACATCAGTCTGATTCAGGAAAATAACAGATCTAAAAACACTGCCACAGCTTGGTATTGATTATTTGGTGTCACTTGATTCTTAGGACCAGGAGGATTCTGGACTGTTGCCTTGGCTTGTAACTCAGGCAGGTATCTCTTCTCACTAAGAGGCAAAGAGGTGCAAATGTTGGAGAACCATTATCTGAGCCACATTCAGGCAATGAAGAATGTGATTCACATCTTGAGAACCTTTGCCCAGGATGAATGCCCTGTCAGGCATTCATCAAGGCCCATGTCCAAGTAAGGAGCTCACAGCCAAGAGTCACTGGCTCTGCTTCTCCTCCAACTTCCTGTTCATTTCACAATTTGCTCAACTGCACTCTGGGCCAAAAGGGAATAAGCCAGTGAGCAGTGGCAGCAGCTCATGTCCCCCAGTTATTCATCAGCTCTTTCTCTGACAAGTGATCATCTGACCACAACTCTCATCATCTGGCTGGTTAAGGAAATGTGTTAATCCTAAGAACCTCTTACCTGTGGGCTCCCTTTGCCCTATGCCCTAACATTTATGAATGAAAAAATGCCAATCTGCCATCACCTTTGTATCCGCGATCTGCCTCCTCCAGATAACTGTGAGGATCTTTAAAACCAGCAGTGAAAGCAGAGCCCAAACTAGGTGATTGCTTCATATGTTGCATACAGTTATGTAACTTGTAATTCTTTAAATAATTACAGCCAGGCATCCCACCCACCATATTCTTACTGTGAAGGCACTGCATAGACAGGCTTGTTTCTTCTCTCATCCATTATGACTGGAGGCCCACCATGCCTGGAGACTAGAGGTCCACCTTCGCACACCCTCTGTGTAGCTACGAGCCTTCCTAGTGAGCAGGAATCCCCATTGTAGTTAATGGGGGTTATTTTTCTAAGACCATGCAATGGGAATCCCAATTCCAATCATTGTGGGAGGGAGCATGAAGAGATTAGCCTCTTCTCTCAACGTGCTGCCTTTTTGATAAGAATCATGCCCCCCCCCCCCGGTAATTATATAAGAAGAAAAAATGATACGTAACTTCATTCTAAGCATGAAGCAAACATCTAGCTTGGCCCTATAGCATTCCAGTCCAATGAGTGGACTTTTAGCTTCTTGCATAAAAACTGCACTTAGTATTGCCTCTTATTTTAAAATAATTACAAGAGGGTCAGTGACATTACCTACAATGGAAGATCTGATTTGATGCGCACATTGACATCTTTAAGAGGAAGGTGCAATTTTCCCCCAAGCAGGTTAGAGATATTATGAATAGGGAAATGAGACAAGCAAGGCAAAGGAGGGTTGACAGCAAGACTGAACGAATGAAGATTCAGCTTAAGCTGTTGAAAGCCTAACAAGATAAAGACAGGCAGGAGAGAGTTCCCTTAAACGTGATGAAAATAAGGCCTGAAGGGGTGGAATGATAGAGAGAGATTGAGGAGTACATGCTCCACGACAGAAGATGAATGGGCTCAACATGACAGCAACATGTAGCTAAATTAATCAGAACACCGACAGCACTAAATGGCACTAAAAAAAAATGCAGCAATACCAGCAAGATCTCACTAGTAAGACGTGAGAAACTTGTACTTTTTCCTCCAAGACAAATGTTCTTTAAAGATGCATTAATTCGCCAGTTACCGGCTGTTAATAAATTTGGGTTGGAGAACCAAGACAGTTTGCTGCATGAGGTAAAAAAATCAAAATGGCACCTTCCACAAGGGACACTATCCACAAGGAATACTGTCTGCAAAATGAAGCTTGCACAAGAAAATTTCCTGGTAGGTGACATCTCTTCCATATCTGTTAAGGCTCCTGTCAAAAGAGAACATGAGAATCCAGTCTTGGAATGAGCTGCATGGGAATGTGACAGACTATTGGCCCATCTATCTGGAGATATCAAGGTTTGAATCTAGAACCTTCTGCATGCAAGACAAACAGATGCTCTACCACTGAGCTATGTCCTTTCCCCAAAAAGAAGACATTAAAAGCGTGGTGGCAGGCAAAGCTCAGGCACATTAGAGCTACAATGTGGAGATACTTACCTGAGTGTTAAGCCTCACAGAACACAGTAGGGTTGACTTTTGAATAAGCATGCATTTGATTGGACAAAAAATTGATTTGCAAGTGTGCTTCATGGAATCACGCAAGGAAGGAAGGAAGGAAGGAAGGAAGGAATACATTGATTATGCCAATGAATAAGGAATACTTTGCACAATGAGGCTATTTATTTATAAATCACTGCATGGTCTTCCTACTTCTATAGTCACATCCTGGCACAGAACTCTGAGACTGTGCACACAATTAATACAAATAAGTCAAGCAGCTTTCTAAAGCACTGGTTCCTAAACAAAGCTGCTCTTTTAGTATTCCACTACCCCTCCTTGCTGACATGGAAATAAAACTCTCCCCCCACCCCCAAGCACACTCCAGCCCTGTCCTGAATCTATGGTAAGATTTTGATTAATATGCAAGGTTGAAAGATCTCCCTGTGTTTGAAATTGTGCAGGAATGGAATGTCCACAATTATAAATGAGCCCAATTCCTCTGTGCTTCTCAATCCTCTTCTTCTGCAGTCAGTAAAATATAGCCTCTTATTTGTTTACCTAGCTACATTCCTGTGTTCGAAACAACTAATCTGAAGATATTAGAAGACTAACAAATCAACGCAGAGTAGAAGATGAAGGTATGCTGACATTGTATGGCAGTGTCACCGCTCACAACCCTGGCAGCTGCATTGCTGTTGTGTTATGCATCATCCTGCAAGCAATCTTCAATCCAGTTATTGTTAGTGCTCACCTTGTTAATTTGAATACTGCTGACCTATTTTAGTACATAAGTTTTCACAAACTACACTGCACTTCTTCACTGGCTACAAGTGGGACAAATGTACTTCCATTTCTGGCATCTGAAAAAGTAGGCTATATTCCAAGAAACCCAATACTCTGGGGAAAATATTCTGTTTCAGTAATGCTCCTTAATTTACTCTTGTAAATTACTGTAATCTATAGGATTCCTTTACTATATGTCTAGTCTTTGCTATATGTCTTTGCTATATGTCTAGTCAGCCTTTGTGGCAACTTAAAGCTCCTACCAATGTGATATACTGCATTTTTGCATAGGATGATTATGGTATACCTTTCAAAGGGCAAAGGAGCATTGTGTGCCATGTCAAAGCACAGAACAACAGAACAATATGGACAGAAGATCTATAGATTACCAGGACAACATGGAATCAACATTGAGGGGGTGATGAAGGAAGGAAGGACGGAAAGCAAAGCAACTACACTGATGATACATATCTTATCTATTATCACACACTTAAAATCCTGTGTTTCCTCCAGGGACCTTAACTGGCATATATAGTTCCTTCCCCCTACCCTCAACAATTTCATCCTCAGAATAACCATGTATGTTAGGCTGAGAGGGAGTAAATGACCCGTGATCCCAGTATGGGCTGCATGGCTGAGTGGGGAGTTGAACCTGGATTTTCCCAGTCTTAGTCCAACACTCTAACCACTGCACCACGTAGGCTCTATTTTCCTCTCACTCCCATATACATATCTACCTTTAATCCCACCCACTTCACACACCTAACGAAGTAGGCTCTTGCAAAAAAAAAATGTAATTAACCAACAGATTTGCTCTGTCGTTGCATTTGCACTGCATTGACCGCTCCTCCCCCTCTACCAACCAGTTTTGTTGGCATCCATTGATTCCAAGAAACAATGGAAGAGTGTGCCATCAGGGGTAAAGGCAAACCATTGGAGAGTTACAAAACCTGCTGTGACTGTAGAGACCAATACGGGAGAGATATGTTTTACCTCCCAGTAAGCAGCAGGAATACAACCAGCTGGAAGTCAGGTGAGTGGCAGCACCTCACCACACCATACATTACTGTGTGTTCGTGTGTGTGTGTGTGTGTGCACGCACAACTCTACATGCATATCTATTTATGTTTTCTTTCTGAGACACGCTTAAAGCACTGCTATTGGTACAATTAATAGGTATTAGATTATCATTAGGTTCCAAAATAAACACACATTAATAATGCTTAGCTTTTACATTTTCCAGCTACAAATGAGTTGTGTTTATTTGCGTGTATTTGAGTAGGTTGGTTAGATGTGCACCTATCCTTTGTTCCTTCAACAAGTGGCACTCTATGTCTTGGCCGACCCAGCCATTATGCAGAGTGGGACAGCCTGCTCAGGTAGCCAATACTGCGAGGCAAGGAGTGGTGGTCAGGTGATGCTGGACAGAAATGGGTGTGCTATAAGGTGTATCCACCTTAGGCTATGGCCTGTGTTGCTACTCTCAAGTTTGGTGAAGGACATTGCCCGTTTGCCAGTGTTAAAGTAAGATTCAACTGCTAGTTCAGGTCAGTTTGGGAATGTGGAAAACAACAGTGGAGGTGGGGGGACTCAACATTTTGCCCTTTACCCGGGACAGTGAAGCATATCCCTATGCCCTGCACTTAGGGAACCACAGACTGGTCCCACATAGCCAGTGAGGTTTGGGATACTTGTTTCATTAAAACTAGTCCCTCTTGCTGTATGACAAATGTCTCTTGAGACTCAGAAGATTTTCAAAAGCAGATTTCCTGACATGCCAAGGGATGCTGTTTGCTATTCACAGTAAAAATGTTTCAAATCCCACTGGACATACCCAAACCTGTTGGACATATCTATGATGGTTCTTTGGATCCTAAATCCATGCAATGTAATGAACATAAATGTATAATTTCTAGGGTTTGGGTTTTGGCTTTTTGGTGTGCTGCCATGGCTAAAGTCCAAGGTGAAAAAATTCAAGGGAGGAGGGGAAAATAAAAAATGACAAATACATGGCTACTGGATTTTCCAAGCATGTCACAAGAATGTGATCTATGCTCTGTACACATGCCACTGATCTACTTGGAATTTTATATTCTCCGCTTGCAAGGAAACAGAAAAATGTTATTCCCTCTGAGGCCAATTTTCATCTTGTCCTGGAATACTCATTTAAACTTTTCAGAAAACACATTTCTATTTCTAGACATTGGCTGCTGTCCTTTAACACTTCCACTGAAGCAGTACTATTGAAGTCCATAAAACTGCACCTAAGTAATGGGCTTGTGAGGATTGCAGCCCTTAACTAAATATATATATTATATATATTCCTGGTTCAAGAAATATATTTCTCACTGTATTAGCATGTGGAAACAAATTCCTAATCTTATTTTTGACAAGACTACTCCCTGCACATATGGTTGGGTTATTCCATATCCATATGTTCCTTAAGCAGCAGAATCTTATTCAATTACTGGAGAAATGTGATGGCTCGGTGTTGGTTAAACCAGCCAAGAGCAGCTCCTTATTCATCGAGGGGTCAGCTAATGTGTGCCAATATTATGATGCCTAGAAGTGCACACAATATGTTTTCACTCACTGTATAAGCCCTTAATAAATGTACAACACCTGCAAAATAATGTGTAGAATCATTATTGTCAGGGCTATGGATACAGGTTCTAAAATAAATAAATAAATAGCCAAATAATCAGTGCCAAGCTAACCCACACTTTGATAATTTCCGTAAACAGTATAAATTTTGAAAATTAAAGCAATAGGCATAAATTTGCTTCCATTGCATATTTATTTTGCTTCTCCTGACTTTAGTAAAGAACAAAGAGCAATGTGTGCTGGCAGTGTGAACTGATAGTCTTAAATGTTGGTGACTAACCAGGAAAGACATTTAAGGGCCCTACCTTTCTTCCCCCAGAACTCAAGGCATTGTATTCACCGTAATGCTAAGCAAATAATCAGGTCAGCCCAAGGAAATCAACTTGCACAGTGGAATGATCTCCCTTACCCCTCACTCCACATACCCCCAAATCTTTTCTAGGGGGTCCCCAACCCTGTGCAGCAGATTTGGGGATGCCTTGGGGCACATGCAGGAGAAGGGGATAAATCCTGCTGAATAATACTGCACAAGGCAACAAAATATAATTCCTATTCAGAAAGATCCAGGCCTACTTCAGAAAGGTTCTGCATCATGTGTGCTTAGACCATGCCTTAGGACTTTTTATGTTACAACTATCACGTCTTGCTGGTGGGTATCTGCTCAGCTACTGTGGAAACAGGGTGCTGGATGCAATGAACTACTGGTCTGATCCAAAAGGGTTATTCTTGCATTCCTGTTTTTAGAGCATCCATTTATTAAGGGGTTGATCTTCTTTGACAAACAAAATTACCAAGAACCTTGAGAAAACTAGATGAATTCTGACTTGAAGAGAAATAATTTTCCTTTTGTGTTTCAAAAACAGTAACAGAATAGATTGGCTAAAACCAAAGGCTTTTTAAAAACAAAAAACAAAAACAGTAATGAATGCAGGCACAAGCAATGGATGATGCTGGCCTGAGCCCTTTGCATGAAACCCTTTCTTTAAGTGATATTCTTTTTATATACAGTGGTACCTCAGGTTAAGAACTTAATTCGTTCTGGAGGTCCATTCTTAACCTGATACTGTTCTTAACCTGAGGTACCACTTTAGCTAATGGGGCCTCCCGCTGTCACTGAGCAGCTGCTGCGTAATTTCTGTTCTCATCCTGAAGCAAAGTTCTTAACCCAATGTACTATTTCTGGGTTAGCGGAGTCTGTAACCTGAAGAGTCTGTAACCTGAAGCGTTTGTAACCCGAGGTACCACTGTATCATTGTGGTTTTTAACATACAGCATAACAAATATGACAATCAACAGGTAAACAAATTAAAGAGAAGTAACATTATAAAGAGAAAAGGCGAAATATATGTTGATTCAAAAGCTAACTGAATAAGCACCTACTGTTTTTTGAAAGGTTCAGAATTCTTCTTTTGTCATTTTGACTCATCAATTGCTGTTCCTATGAGGTTTATTGCAGAAACTGCCTTTGCCCATGAATACAGGATAAGTGTGTAAAACAATTTGTTTTTTGGAAGTCTTTATATGCACTCA